TGGTATTAAATCTTCTCTGAATTTCTAGTAAAATTCTGCTGTGAATCCATCAGGGCCTGGACTTTTCTTTGTCAGTACGTTTTTAATCACACTTTCAATCTCATTAATTGATATTGGGCTGTTCAGGAATTTGATATCTTCTTGATTCAACCTTAGTAATTCATACATATGTAGGAATCTGTCCATTTCTTCTGAGTTTTCTTTCCTATGGGAGTAAACATTTTGAAAGTCGGTATGAATGATCTTCTGAATTTTTGTGGAATCTGTTGTAATTTCATCCTTTTCATTCCTTATTGCATGAATCTGAGTTCTTTCCTTCGTTTTCTTCATAAGGTTGGCTAGGGCTTTAGCAATTTTATTTATTCTTTCAAAGAATCAACTCCTTGATTCATTTATTTTTTGGAGGGTTTTCTTTGTCTCAATTGCATTAATTTCTGCCCTATTCTTTATAATCTCCTCCCGTCTTTGGGCCTTAGGCCCAGCTTGTTCTTCTTTTTCTAAAAGTTTAAGATGCAGCATTAGGCTACTTATTTGTTCCCTTTCTGCTTCCCTTATGTGTGAATTCACTGCTATGAATATCTCTCTGAGGATTGTTTTCATTGCATCCCATATATTCCAGTAAGTTGTATTTACATTTTCATTTGTTTGTAGCTATTTTTAAATTTCCTCTTTAATTATTTCTGTGACCCATTGGTTGTTTAGGAGATGGTTGTTTAATTTCCAAGTGTTTATGGAGTTTTTGGAGATCCTTTTGTCATTAAGTTTGAATTTCATTGCACTGTGGTTAGATAATATGCACGGGATAATTTCAGTTCTTTTGCATTTAGGTAGGTATGCTCTATGGGGTAGGAAGTGCTCTATTTTAGAGAAAGACCCATGTGCAGCTGAGAAAATGTGTATTCTGATGTTGTGGGGTGGAACACTCTGTACACATCTACTAAGTCCATTTGTTCACAGCTTTGGTTCAGATCTGTTATTTCCTTGCTGATTTTTTGTCCAGTTGACCTATCTCTTTGTGTCAGTGAGGTGTTGAG